CTTCTTTTGAAGCTGTAACTGATAATGCGACTTTATTATCTTCTTTTTCAGAATTTTCAACACTGCGATAGATGGAGGGTAGTCATTTTCACATATAATTATGTTTAATATATTTTAGTTCTCATACATTTTCAAACACTACACCTGGTAAGGTAGGGTGGTGATTGTTTTATTGATTTAATGATGATTAATGCTTCAATGACAATGTTTCTTTTTTCTGTATCTGATCATTTTTTCGAAGGTGTGCGTGTAATTCTATTTGTTACTTTGTTTGTTTGTAGTTAAGCATAAAGCTACACAATGGGATATTTGTGCTCTGCTCACCACAGGTATCGAAACCCGGTTTCTAGCATTGTAAGTCCGCAGACATACCGCTGTGCCACTGGGGGCTAATTATATTTAGTTAAAAGAACACACACATTTTACATTGCAAAATATTTTTGGAGTGAATTTTGAAATATGGTAATTTCGTTGGAAAATGAATCAGTTTGAACAGGCCAAATAATATGTAACCAAAACTTATTACATTAAGAGATTGTTATTTTTTAAATAAAACACAACTGTTAGAATTGTTTATAAACTTTAGAAATGTAATTTTACAACGCATGACAAAAAAATAATATTTGGAAAATATACCTAAAAATTGACAACATTAAGTAATGTCAGTTTACAAATCAGATAGATAATTGCATGATTTATCTCTATACTTTTATTAAAAATGCGTTTCAACTTGAGCTGGCATAGCCCACTAGTTAGCGTACCGGACCCATAGCTCATGTCCTGCTCCCACTAAATCACGTTTCGCACGTTGAGACCGTGGGTGTATTATAAGAGTGACTTTCAAATTCCAATGTTCGATTAAAATATCCCACAAAATGGTGATGAGCGCTGCTTACTAACTATCTGCTTTCTATATGGTCTATCAGTTCAAAATTAGGGATGGTTGCCGAAAACAGTTTTTGTGTAGCTTTGTGTAAAAGTGTAAAACAAACAAAACCTATGAGCTTAAAAACTGACTTTTTCAAGAAAATAATTTCATATTCTGTTATGAATACAAATACACTTCTTAACTACTCAAGCGTCAATGGATTCAAGGATGTTTTCTATTAGGTAAAATGAAACACGTGCGCTAACAAAGCTCTTTCGGTAACTCTACTCCACTATTCGTCAATATCAACGTGATGTTTAGGAAAGATGAAATAGTGTCACAAAATTGTAATGGACATTTAGTTCATGTTTTCTATCAAGCTGAAGATGTTATCAGATATTGAAGGGATTGTGAAAGTCGTAAGGTTTCATCAATATACTTAATTACTCTCCCTATTTGTACACGTAAACTTGTTTCTTTAAAGTATTGATTAAAACCAACTGAATTTTGTGGAACCTTCTGCTACTTTGGACATTTGGATATTTTTTGTCTCCAATTAATCTATTAAATACAATTGATATACTGATCAAAATATAATGTGACGGTCAATCCCACTATTCGTTGGTAAAAGAGTAGACCAAGAGTTGGCGGTGGGTGGTGATGACTAGCTGCTTTCCCTCTAGTCTTACACTGCTAAATTAGGGACGGCTAGCGCAGATAGCCCTCGTGTAGCTTTGTGCAAAATTCATAACAAACAAACAAACCACTGAAATTTGAAGTACGGGATGGGCTTATGGTTGAAATGTAAACAAAACAACCCCCTTTAAGAACCGAAAGGAATGAAATGTGTTGAAACATTAAAACTCTACCACTTAGATAGAGTGTGTGTCGAGATTCGACATTTCTTATCTTAAAATATAGATTTTGTTATGTATATAAAAAAGTGCTAATCTTCAACAACATCCGCACACAATATTTTCAGAAAAACAAAATATTTAGCGCAAGAGAATGTTACAAAGTATTAGAGAAATTGTTTTCAAATATCTGGAATTTACCAGTTAGAAATCACCTTAAATGGTTTAAATACACCTTACAAAACATTTTCTAACATTGCGCTTATCGTTTCGTTAGCAGGATCAATAGAGACTGTTATTTGATGCGCCAGTTCGACGAATAATAACCTCTCCTGAGTACTTCTGATTAGCGAACAAGAGAAATGTACGGTAGTACTTACTGTGTTACTTTCATAATGTCGCGCTTTCAAAAGTGTAATTGTTATTTTTCACAGGAAACTGTCACAAGAAACTATTCGTACAAAAGAGGTTTCTACGAAATGTTTAGGTATTGAAATAACCTTGGTAATGCAGTTGGATCAAGCATAAAAGTAATGGAAGAAATAGATCAAAACTTCAATGTTGAATGTTATGGTTTACCTCTAACGCTAGTTTTCTCTTTCTGAAAGCAAAGTATTTGGTTTCTACTTCGAAGTTAAATCACTGATGAATAAACATAATTAATTTTTTCATCTGCAGAATATTTTCATTATTAGTTAGATGTTATCAGTACAAGGAATTTATTTCAATTACTTTGGATATATAACATCTCTAGTCCTATATTAATGTCAAACTATAGAATATGTTTTACAGTTAATATTTAACTTATTTAATGGTACACAATCATTCAGTTATGCGTACCTAAAACAGTGCTATTCTTTTTTGCTTAAAGCTTCTGCAGCTAAATTTAAATGTGTAAACGAAAATCCAAATACCATATATTGATTTAGGGATTCCACAAACTCAGAAATATTAGAAATTGATTTATTTTCATAATACATACTTATAACTTAAAACAAAATCTGTTTCCAGGTATTTCTCTAGCACGTTACTCTTTGTCATAACAGAAACTTTCATGCCTGATTTGAGGATTATGCAACGTCTAGGGTTGACAAAGATAGGTAGTGAAAAAAAATCATAAATAATATTCCACGT